GACCGGCGGTTGTCTACCGCAGGTCGTTGTGGATGCGCATGTGGCCGAATAGACCCATGCGATGCGTGAAGGTGCGAGGGCAGTGTGGGCAGTGGAGGCGAGTGCGGTGGGTGTAGGTTGGTGCTCCAGGCACTGGTTCGCGAGTCTCTGTGCGATGGATTCGCAAGTGACCGACCAGGTCGATGCGTGAGGTGAAGGTGCGTGGACAATGTGGGCATGAGAGGTCGGCGGTGTCGGTGTCAGCTGTAGAGGAAGCAGTGGTGTTGGTGGTGGCGGTGGTGGTGGTCGGCGCGTGTGACGGTGGGGCGAGGATGGGTCTGGGCGTGTTGGATGTCGTGGCTTGGTCAATTCCGATCTCGTGGATGCGCATGTGACCGAATAGACCCATGCGATGCGTGAAGGTGCGAGGGCAGTGTGGGCAGTGGAGGCGAGTGCGGTGAGTGTAGGTTGGTGCTCCAGGCACTGGTTCGCCAGACTCTGTGCGATGGATTCGCAAGTGACCGACCAGGCCGATGCGTGAAGTGAAGGTGCGATCGCAGTGGGAGCAGGTGGGGGTGGTTGCGGTTGCTGTGTCGTGGTTGGCGATGTGTGAGACGGCAGCCTGAACGGCCACCGTTGGGGCAGTGGAGGAGAAGGAGGAGCATGGAAGTGGTGGTGCAGAAGGAGTGTCAGAGTTAGTTGGCGGAAGAGAGGACGAGGAAGAGGCGGGCGCGGGGACGATGGCTGGAGTAGTTCAAGAGGTGCAGTTGGTTCGAAGATGTCCAACAAGTCCGATTCGTGCCCGGAATGTCCGTTGACATCGAGGACACGTAGGGAGAGGTTGTGCGGCGGCGTTGCGTATTTGGCGAAGTTGTGATTTGCGGACTTCGCGTTTCACTTCGGCGGCGGCGATTCGGTTGGCTTCGTAGATAGCAGCGCCCGTCTTCACTGTTCTCCTCCATGTCGGACGATCGCGGGCGAGCTCTTCCCAGTTGGTCGGGTTGATGTGCAGGCGCTTCAGGGAGGACTTCAGAGTATCTTTGTAACGGCGAAGTTGGCCCCCTTGACGACGAGAACCCGTCGCGACGTCTCCGTAGAAGAGTCGTTTGGGTAGTCGCTCGTCGTCCATGCGCACCAGATGGCCGCTCCAGCGCAGCTGCATTTGTCTCAGCATGGAGTAGATGCTCAGAATTCCCGTCCGTTCCAGCACTTCGGTGTCGGGGATGCGGTCCTGCCAGTTCAGCCTCAGGATGCGGCGGAGACAGCTGAGGTGGAAGTGGTTTAGTCGACGTGCCTGCCTCGTGTACACCGTCCAGGTCTCCGCTCCGTACAGTAGCGTCGGCAGGATGACGGCCTTGTACATCTTCAGCTTTGTGCTCAGTTGGAGACCATGACGATTCCAAACTGTGCTTTGGAGGCGACCGAAGGCTTGACTGGCTTTCGAGATCCTGTTGGCGACTTCGTCGTCGATCTTGGTGTTGCGGGAGAGCGTGCTGCCCAGATACGGGAAGTTCTCTACCACTTGCAGTTGAGTCCCATTCACGTTGATTTGCGGCGGCGCGTTGGGGGCTGTGGCTGAGTTGGGAGGCGGCTGATGCATCACTACCGTCTTCTGCGTGTTGATAACCAGCCCAAAGTTCTCGCAGGCGGCGGAGAATAGGTCCATGCTCCGTTGCATCTCCACTTCTGAGGTGGTGTTCAGGGCGCAGTCGTCGGCGAAGAGGAGTTCGTGCACGGTGGCTGTGGATACACGCGATTGGAAGTTCATGCGCCGGTGATTCAGGAGATGACCGTCCGTTCTATAGGCGATGCGGATTCCAGGGCGTTCGTCGCGGTAGGCGTCCATCAGCATGGCAGAGAACATGAGACTGAAGAGGGTAGGCGCCAGCACACAGCCCTGCTTCACTCCGTTGGTCACTGCGAATGCCTCTGGGACAGCTCCGTTGTCCGTGACTCGCGCCATCATACCGTCGTGCAGCTGACGCACCATCTGAGTGAATCGCTCCGGACAGCCGAATTTCTGCATAATCTTCCACAGTCCTTCACGATTCACCGTGTCGAAGGCTTTCGTCAGGTCCACGAAGGTAGAGTACAGGTGGGTCCGCATCTCCTGGCACTTCTCCTGAAGTTGGCGGGCGGCGAAGATCATATCCGTGGTCCCACGATGACGACGGAAGCCGCATTGGCTTTCCGGCAGAAGGCCCTGTTCCAGATGGTTGTTGAGGCGGTTGAGCAGGATGCGAGCGAAGATCTTCCCGGCGATGTTCAGTAGGGAGATGCCGCGGTGGTTGTCGCAGACTTGGCGATTCCCTTTGCGCTTGTATAGGTGCACGATAGTTGCGTCCTTGAAATCTTGCGGGATTTCACCTTGACGCCACATCTCCTGGAAGAGCGCAGTCAGGTGATCCATCAGAAGGGGACCTCCGTGCTTGTAGACCTCAGCAGGGATTGCGTCCGATCCGGGTGCTTTCCCGCTGGAGAGCTGCTGCACGGCCCTGATGGTTTCCTGGAGAGATGGCGGGAGGTCGAGGTCCGCGTTGGTCGCCACTTGCGGCAAGCGGGCGATGGCGGCGTCGGAGATGACGGAAGGGCGGTTGAGGACGCCTCGGAAGTGCTCGGCCCATCGCTGCAGGATTTGCGTCTTCTCAGTCAGGAGAGTGCTGCCGTCGGCGCTGAGGAGAGGAGCAGTGCCCTTCGTCGGCGGACCGTAGACAGCTTTGATCGCGGAGAAGAAGTTCTTCCATTCGTTGCGGTCCGCGTAGCCTTGGATCTCCTCAGCTTTGCGAGCAGTCCAGGCGTTCTGCATCTCGCGCAGTCGTTGTTGAAGCTGTCGGCGACTGCGGTAGAAGGCAGCTTTGTTGCCCTCAGTTGGGTGCTCTACGTAGGCTTTGTGTAGGCGGTTCTTATCGGCAGGCAGATTTCTGATGGCAGCGTCGTTGTCGTCGAACCAGTCCTGGTGTTGGCGGGGAGCGCGACCGAGGACGGCGAGCGCCGTCGACTGGACTGTGTCACGCATTTGACACCAGCGGTTCTCCACGGAGGCGTTCTCGGCAGCGGCGGCGGCGGCGGCGTCGTCGGCGGCGGCAGCGATAGGAAGGTTGTCTAGCCATTGAGCTAGCTCATTACTGAAATGGAGACGGTGACCAGACAAAGACAACAAAGCAACATTCAGCTTACCTGGGGGTCGCTTACCTTGTGGTCTCCTGCGAGGCTGTAGGCGAATACGCATCTTCGAGGTGACGAGGCGATGGTCGGTCCACCCGTCAGCACCCGCGATCGCCTTCGTCACCAGCACGTCCCGCTGATCTCGCTTCCGGACGAGGACATAGTCCAGCAGGTGCCACTGACGCGACCGAGGATGCCTCCAGGTGGCCTTCTCTCGCACCGGCAGACAGAAGAAGGTATTCGTCAGGGTGAGGCGGTGTTCTGCGCAGGTGCGGAGCAGCAGCAGGCCGTTGTCGTTGGAACCGCGGAGACCGTGGGGACCCAGCAATCCCCTCCAGGCAGTATGGTCTGTGCCGACGCGGGCGTTGAAGTCACCAAGGACAATCAACTTGTCCGCCTTCGACACAGTCGCCAAGAGGGCGTGCAGGTCCTCGTAGAATTTGTCTCTGACGGCGTCGGGGTTGGTCATCGTCGGAGCGTAGGCGCTGATGATGGTGGCGAATTTGCCTCTCCAGAGAGGCGGGCGGAGGCTCATCAGGCGATCGTTGATGCCCTGCGGCAAACAGGGCAGTCGTCCCACGATGTCGGTCCGGATGGCGAAGGCGACGCCCGCGTCTCGTCGCTCTGCCCTGGGTCGACCACTCCAGAAGAAGGTGTAGCCGGCACCCACCTCCTCCAGTTGGCCTTGTTCGGAGAATCGGGTCTCGCTGAGTGCGGCGATGTCCACCTTGTAGCGCGCCAGTTCTCGTGCCACTAGCGCCGTCCTCCGTTCCGATCGGTTGCTCCTCGGATTGTCTAAAAGGGAACGAACATTCCAGGCTGCCAGAGTGAGCGGGCTCACCCTGTCAGTCTGGGGAAAACGAGTGGGGCGATGGGAAGGAGGTGGAGAAGAAGATGACGAAGGAGAAGAATAGGCAGAAGAATAGACGGAGGTAGAGGTAGAAGAGGTAGGATGAGGAGAATGAGTATGGTTGTTGTTGTTGTTTCGAGTTTGATTGTTTCGACCGTGAGTTTTGCGTCTGCGGCCACGGTGCACCGGCAGACGACGTGGTTCCCCAGCAATTTTTAGGCAAGCTTTTCCAGGCCCCCCCGAAGGAAGCAGTGCCCTGACCCCTGAATAGGGGCTGCTTGATGTGCCGGCGCGGCCGAACTCCACTGTGGGCCACGAGTTTTTTTGGCAGTGGAAGAACGACTCGAATTTGCCAATGGCTTACGGCATTGCCGCAAGCCTGCGGTCTCCTACGGTGCACCAGATGGGCGCGTGTCGACGGTGCCAATTCGGAGATCCATCCCACCGGCTGATCAACGGCGTACCAGGCGGAGCCTCGTCTAGACGATGCCGATGCGACGTTCCACCACCAACCGGCTGACCAGCGGTGTGTCAGACAGAGCCTCGTCACGACGGCGCCGACGCGGTGTTCCATCCGACCAACCGTCCACGGAGCCCGCAGTCACCTGTGCACGCGGCACAACGCGCACAGGGAGTAACCGCCCTCACCTGGTTTAGCCCGCCGGTCGAGACGGTTGCCCGGGGTGTGGCCGCTGAGCAGAGCCCAGCTACGTGGAGCCACAGGTGAGAGTTGAGTGCCAGCAAGTGGACGCTAGGCGTAGTCTCACCTGCAAGCAAGTGAGCGACCACTACGACCTTCACGTGAACCCACCGCTGACACCCCTACACCCCCCCAGGTGATATACACACATGGGGTTAGGTTTGGTTGGCTGATGACGGTCAATAAGCTTGAAGTGGCTATTCAAGTCTCTCTTGTCCATTTCGGTACTCCTTCCGCATGTACAAACGGATCTTGTTTGTTTCGGAAAGCCAGTGGATCGGTGTAGGGATATTCCTAGCTGAATTTATACCCCGATTTGTGGTAACAAAAATGGTGGATGGCAGGTTACTGACGAACCTCGGCTTGAGAACAGGCTAATAAACCATCTGATAGATCTCGTCTGCAGATCATCTGTGCTGTCTACGTTCTCTATGCGGTTTCTGGTATATAAAATCCAGAAAATAATCAATAATTTCAGGAATTAATCAGTGAAGGACTTGGAGTTAAATCTCCGAGACATGACTTTTTAGGCTCAGAACCGAAATTTTAATGAACATTCGAGTAGAAGACAATCAACTACTGTGGAATAACCGCGTAATGCCCATTCTACAAAGAAATAGTACTACGAGTAGTATGAATCCCATATGGCAAAGGTATTATACCGTACTTCCGATATAAAAGCCCAGACACGTGTTTCGCCCACATTCTGCCGCTGCGTGACACAGCTGTGAGGGGTTCAGCTCATCTGTGTGACGCCCAGCGTTCTCTATGCGGTTTCGACTCGAATGTTCATTGAAATTTCGGTTATGACCCTAAAAGTCATGTCCCGGAGATTTAACTCCAAATCCTGCATTGAGCAATTTCTGAAAACGACACCTGTTTGGCATTTGTGCCAGTAAGCGACCGCTGCGTGCGTCATTATGTATCAAGTGGTTCTCGTCTTTTCCATTTTGCCTTGAGAATATGGTACATGGCAGCTAACTCATTATGCCGACTGATGCATGACTCATCGGAGTACATTGCTTCGCGAAACTCTCGGTCGTTTTTGGTGGTGCGAGTTTTTGTCACACAGTACAGTCAATCAGCACATTAGGTTAAATGCCATGCTCATCCTAGAACATAAATGAGAATAAGAGACGATCTCGGCAACCATATTTATATTGCCCTGAGATCTCAAAAGCAGACAAACTTTCATCGTCGCAGGTGGGTGTTCTACCGCGCCTCACCGTATTTATAGGTGGTGACAATCATGTTACAACCGGTGTACCTCTCATCGCGGGCCGGCGTTCAAATGCTAGCCGTCATCGCATGTGTTTGCTTTGATCTTAGTTCTCGCTATAGGCTGTCAATCTCTACGACCCCGCGACCGCATATGTTCTCATCTGCCGGATGAGTGGCAGTGAGGATAGCACATTCGTCGGGTCCGCTTGCGTTACCTCGACCATCCGTTTTCTCACCTTCTGGATAAGTGGATGACGCGGCTGTAGTAGCGATCGCACCTTCGTCAGGTCCTGGTTGTAGTACAGCTGCGTCCGCTTCCCCCATGGACTCGGTCTTATTTGGGTGCCTGTCTTGTCGTAACCCGCGGTTAATTGAGTTTACGCCAGTGTGCCAGGTCTCAATTGCTTCCCTGGATATGCGGTCATTTCCTCAGCCCAGGATTTCGCTATTCTGGAAGGCGGACGTGTGCCCAGAGTTTGCGCCGTATTCTGCAACGGGCTCATCTTCTTTACTGCCCCCATGTGTTCTCCAACACAAGTCTGCAGTGATTTGCCGGTCTCTCCAATATTGTTCATTTCACAGGAGCTGAATTGGATCCGATGAATGACACTTGTTGTTCCACCGCATGGCAGAGGGATCTTAGGTCTCCTGACCACGTGTTGAATTATTGACTCTGGCCGATGAGCAATGCTGATCCCCAGTGGTCTTAGGAGACGGGAGACCGCCTCAGAGACGCCGTCAATGTAAGCAAGCGCCCGACAGATTTTTGTCCGTTCTACCATCGGACTTCGGCTAGGCCCAGGCTGCCTGCTGCGTTCTAGGAAGTTGCGAGGACACCCGTTCGCCATGAAGAGGCGCTGAAGGTAGCGCAGTTCCGATTTTTTGTTGTCTGGCTCGTTTCAGTGTGTTTCTACCCTTCTATGTACTGTTCGTACAGAGCTGCGTTTGTGGGGTATATATATATGCATATATATGTAATAGATTAGAGGTGGTGTGCATTTCGAGCCGATATCATGAAAAAAGACAAGAGGTTCTATGGAAGAGTCGAGTTACACTCGTGAAGCTTTGAGCTGTTGACACCAACCCGTCGTCAGACAAAATGAAAACAAGAGAGAAAGTTAAATTGTCACACTAGACCAGTTGGCTCGACAGGACAGACAGACCATTGGTGTGCGAGGAGGGTGGTCACGAAGTCATGGTAAGTTTCTGAGTGAGGGAGGAGGGGAGAGGATAGGAGGCGGAACAACTACAGCACCCTGCGCTGGAGGGGGAAGGGTGGATGGTGGATAAGTAAAACTCAGGGCGGCTGTATTGGCGGTTGTTGATGTGCGATTAGGGTAGGGATCAGTCAGTCGTGAACTTCGACCTTCGTAATTGGCATCCGGGCTAGGCGTCAGGCCAGAGACGGCAGCAGTCAAACCCAGACAAAGTGAGAACACGGACGAGTATGGCGCCAGAAACAGACAAAAACAGGGGACAACTGGCGACGAGAGCAAACCCAGGGTTATGCAACACGGCAGGCGAATGACTCGAGTATCCCTCCAGGACTGTCATTTTCGATTGCACAAATAACAGAATTTTGAGCCAGTCATCTTCAATGACAAACGTGTCATCAACATATCGTACCCATAATTTGGGGTTAACTAGTGGTAAGGCGATAGCCTCTAATTTCTGCATCGTGACCTTTGCGAGAAAACCAGAGATGATTCACAAACCTGAAATATTACTGCGACCGATAGTATCGTTAATCGGTGCACCTAGTTACAAGATTTCTAAATGGCTATTCCACAAACTCTATCCGTTGACAAAGGATTGTGAAACATCAATCAATAATTCAGCCCAGTTGCTGGACAAATTACAAGGACTGAGAATCGCAGCAGATGAAATAATGGTATCCTTCGATGTCGTTTCTCTGTTCACCTCCATACCATTGGATTTAGCAAGACAATGTACAGAGAAAAGTCTCCAGTACTACGACATGGATATCGCTGCATCTGCTTTGTTAGAACATTTTATACTTCGGTTTATCGCAAAGAAACCTACGCGGAAGTCCTTTTGCATTACGAGAGCAATCACCCGATCTCTCACAAACGGAGTGCCGCGAGCAGCCTCCTTAACCGAGCAAGAACTCACTGCTCTGACAGCGAAACATATCAAACAGAACTGAAGTATTTGTTCAAACTGTTTTCCCAGAATGGGTATCCTAGATATTTTGTACACCGATCCATGCGACGACAGGAGTTAAAAGAAAAAGAGAAGGAAGTAGATTGTTCCGATCAGGCACCCAAACCAAAAAACTGGCGAACACTTCCGTACATTAAGAATGTGTCCGAGCTAGTTGAAAGACACCTGAGGAAGCACCAAATACATGTGGCGCACAAGCCGACGACTACACTTCGTAACCAGCTTGTACACCCTAAGGATAGGGTTGGCTATTTAGATAAGAAGGAAGTCGTCTATAAGATACCATGCAACACCTGTAATGCAGTTTACTGTGGTCAAACTGGGAAATCGGCCTCTACGCGAATACACGAACATCAGTTGGCCGTAAAAAGACGCGACCACTTGTCTCAAGTTGCCATGCATACGTTGGAAACGGGACACAAATTCACCTGGGACAGGACTCGCATTGTAGGTGTCTGCTCATCCAAAAAGGGCCGTGAATTTTTAGAGGCAATCCATTCTGATAGCGCATGCATCAATCGACACGTAGAATTGGATACGGTGTACAGCAGCCTCCAGGAAAAGTGGAAAAGGCGTTAGCCAATCAGAACATTACACCAGCAGGAGTGACAAGGCAAAATCGATTTTTAGGCATGTTTAAATGTTAACTGTTTTGCACACTTACTTCACGTCTGAAGACGACTTGGGGAACCAAGATCGAAAATTTACAATAAAGCTTGTTTGTCTTTCCCAAAGAGCTTATTTCTTTCGAATATATGTATATATGTTGAATTAAAAGGTGTTCTTTGGGAAAAAATTTATTGCGTAAATTTTCGACGCCGGTTCCACAGGGTGTTGTCAGACGCAGACAGAGAGCAAATGTGCCGATAACAGTTAACATCTGGCAGTGCACTTGAAAATCGATAATTGTTCGGCCCTTGCGACTGTGAGCGGCCGTTATCCGCATCGTTCTGTTCTGATTGGCTCTCGTATCTCCCATTCCTCCTTGAGACTTTTGTACGCGGCGTCCAAGTCGATGTGCCAGTTAACACATTATTCATCCGAGTGAATGGCCTCGAAGAACTCTCGGCCTTTTTTAAAGGGCAGACACTGACAGTCCGAGTTCTGTCCCAAGCGAGGGCATGCCTGGTGTCCAGGGTATGCATGGCTACTTGAGACAGATGGTCCCGCCTGTTTACCTCCAGTTGTTGTTCGCGAATACGTGTAGAGGCGGATTTCCCTGTTTGACCACAATAAACTGCATCACAGGCCTCACAGGGGATCTTGTAGACGACTTCCTTTTTATCCGGATAGCTGACCCTATCCTTAGGGTGTACTATCTGAGTGCGTAAGGTAGTCTTTGGTCCGTGTGTCATTAGGATTTGCTGTTTCCTTAGGTGCCTTTCAAGGAGATCAGACACGTTTTTAATGTGAGAGTTTGGCTTCGGTGCCTGATTGGTAGTACTTGATTCCGTTTCTTTTGACTCATT